TTTTCTGCACGTAGCTAACAATTACTTATGTGTTGTCAGATAAATGTTACCAGATGCAGTTAATTATTTTTTACTTGCCAATCTCATGAGACAAGTTTTTTTTGCTCCTGCAAGACTTTACTTTGTGTTGCAAAATAAATTCATTCTGACTCTTTTTGGACTTGCCTACACATTAAATTTAAAATAGTTTTATGAATAGGTAAGATGTGATTATCATAATTTTGTTTCTCTCTTTATCTCGGCAACTTTATATGTTGATTCGGTATCCAGGTTACCTACCAGTGGCTGATTGATAAAACTGCTCATATGTTCAGCTGGTGGTTTGAGTTTATTTTCTGACATAAAAAATTTTAAAAGGCACCCCCATGTTTATTTTACTGTAATCGAAAAATCAAATAATTGCTACTCTGTTTATAGGTACTAAATGTTAAAATATTTTAAATGCTTCCTTTAATTTGCATTCTAATAGTCATTTGTTTAAATTTAATTATGAATTATATTCACATATAGTAATTGTGAGTGTTTCTTTATTTTAGGTGCTGTGAAAGGCAATGACAGAGATCCAATTTATCAAGAGTTCTTATATACATAAGAATACATGGATATAAGATTGTTTTTCATGAATTCAAATAAAATGTGATAAATTGGATTAATAAAAAGTATTTTGAATTTTGAAAAGTGTTTTTCCTCTGTTAATCATAATATAGTGCCATAAATTTCTGAATGTGTTTATTTTTCATCCAAATAAATAGCTTTACAAAAATTTGTCATATTAATAGATATTGCATAATTTAGCATTATTATAAATATTTATTATAGCAGATTTAGCTGAATTACTTTTTTAAAGTCTCTTGCCAGATGAAGTCACAAAGGTAAGTGGTTAGATATTTTTCTGTATTCGACCATTAAGTAATTTTATCTGGTAAATTATCATTACTTATATACTAAAGGTGGAAAGAATACTTAAGCTTTCCTTGAAGAATACAAAAATTTGCAGATATTTCAAAAAATTGGTATACGTAAAAAAGTTCTTAAATTGCCACATATGCGAAACTGAAAAATGTTATGTATGAATATAGTTTCAGAAATAAAATAATATATTTTCACTATTTTTTTAACTATAATTCACTGCATTTGTTTATATATATAATCACAGTTTAAGGTAGCAGTGCTTTTCTCACTGTGATTTCTCATGTATTTTGATTCATAAATACACGTACATAAATCCACGTATTTTGATTTCTCTTTTGAGACCGAATAAAAAATGTGAACTAAACATTTTCGTTAGGCATTGAGAGTTGAATAAAAGCTCACCTCAAAATAAAATGAAATTAATAAATTTATGGAAAATTTTACATTGCATATATATGAGCAGAAGAAAGAGTAAACTGAATATACTTAATAGAGGTATTAAATAATTGGTAGAGTTGATAGCAGAATAAAATGCCTTAATTGCATGGTAAACAGTAGATTTTTTGAAGTTTTTCTATGTTGCGTAAAATGCAGATTTAAATTTTTGATATTGATTATCATATAAATGGCAATTACTGTTTTATTTTGCTCTGAAATGAATGGTTAGTAATAAAATTCTGGATGCGACAACCTTTAACATGCGCTAGAATTTACAAAGTTTAATTTGGTGCTGATTTCAACGGGTAAATTTCATTTTACTGAATTTTGCATAAAATAATACCAATGAACCATTGCAAATTATTTTCAGAACTTTTGACTTCATATCGTCAGTCGTAAACTTGTTTCGCTTTTCATTCAAGTCTTGCCATTTGGCAAAATTTAACATATTTACCTTTAAAATCTAATATATTATTGACTAACAAGCCAAGCTATTTAAAAGCATTGCACACAGTTCTTAACAATGCTTTTTTTAATTTTTAATCTGATTGATTTAAAATGCATTTAATTCATGATATATCTAATTGAAAACATTTTAATACTTCTACATAATTACATGATATATTTCTTCATTTTTCAAATATATAGAAGATATATAACTTTCTGGTGTCAGTATCTTATAAAATGTTTTGTTATTTCCACTGCCCCATCTGTATTGATAATCTATACATTCATAAGCTTTTAGCCTCTTTGAGTGACTGCTAAAATCTGAGGCCTTTCAGATTTTTTTTTTAAATTTTGTGAGCAGAAAGAATTTTAGAAGAGCTTCTTGAGTTACCTTTAGAATGATATAAAGAATTGTTAACATAATGTCAAATTTTTACAACTAAATATTAAATTTATAAAAAAGCCTGCAGCATTCTCATGTTACGAAAACATATTTATTTATTCTGAGGCTAGGAATTGATTTAGTTTTAAAATACAATTTTTTCCTTTTAACAATTTCCCAACAGTGTCATCAAAACACTATAAATTCCTTACATGTTTTAAAGAAAGATGATTCATTTATGTAAAGATTATTAAATGGGTAATTTTATTATTTACTTTTTAATACAAATTAACTGAAATTAGAAACTGATTTTGTAAAATAATTTAATTATGAATAATTCAATTTGGGGGCTATTGGATGTTTAAAAAATGATCAAAAGATTTTAATATCTAAAAATAAAAGCAAAATTTTCAGTTTTGATATTTTTATTAATAATTCATTTTAATTTCCTTGCTCAGTTTTAATATATTCACAAATTCAGATTTAAAAACAAAATAAGTTGTATAAATATTTTCAACATTTCTGATTTTTCCAAAGTAACCATAAGAGAACGATTTGAGACTATATGTGTAAAAAAAAGTAGGTTTTAGATCATCACACCTTCACATACTTTCACTGGAATTTTCCTCTGTATATATACTGGGATGTGACACTAAGCAGTTGAGAGTATGTATTTAAGAGGTTAAAGGGATATTGTAACTAGTGTTTCAAATCCTAATAACATCCCATACGCTGTCGGTGGGACGTAGATAGGATGTTTTTAGGATATAATGGGATGTGCTTAGGAGGTTTGTGGGATGTCCTTAGGATGTAGTAAGTAGGAGTTCATATCCTAATAACATCCCGCACGCTGTCGATGGGACATGGTTAGGATGTCCTGAGGATCCCGGGATGTGACATTAAGCACTCAGGAGGATTCGCGGGATATTCCGGATGTCTGAGGATGTGCATATCCCGCGAGCAACATCCTTGGGATCCCAGGTGTTTTGTGCTATGTGGGAACGAGTCAATGAATCGTGTTAAAAACACTAAATTACAATAATAAGCAATTAGAACATCAAAAAACAAATTAAATTTAATACATCGCAATAAAATTATAATTACTGGGAATATAAAAGTATCGAAGTAATTTCAGATTTATATTAAAGCAATATGAGGCAAAACCAGACCTTCAAAAGGTAATAACAGAAACGAAATGATTGCATAAAATCAAATTATTGCACAACTCGTCGAGGCAGAATCTTCAGTAAACATATAAAATGTTGATAGATTATATTAAATCTTAAAGCTGGAAACAAACAACAAGCAATAAATCAATTGACAAATACGAAACCATAAGTAAAAAATATTAAGTCTGCTACCATTGTATTAAGCACTCTAATAAATCCTAACACAAAATGTGAAAAAATTACACAATTTAAAACACCTTACTGCAAACATCCTAACTCGCTTTTTGCTACTAATGATGCTAAAAGCTCTTTGGTGAGAGGAAAAAAAAAAAAAAAAAAAAAAGATGCGTTTGCTGGCATATTGGCCAACGCTTAAACAGTTTTAAAAAAAGTGTAAAAATACAGATTTCTATTTTTACGTTAAGAGAAACATACGAGTAAACATAGCCTTTAATATATGACTGTATAGTATCAGCCAGTCGCATTGCAACTAAAATTACAAATACAAACCATGCCGCACTACAATATCTTAACACATTGGCTATTTAAAGGATCAGTTTCATCCATTAACTTCATCCATCAGTGCGATCCTCAGCATACAAACTGTAAACAATAAGCAAAACTAATTCTATCAAGTTCGCAACGGCAACTTGTTTACATTGCTCAGAACTAGTTAAAAGTTAAATTCTCAAATATTTGGAATATAACAGGACTGAGTTCGCCAAAGCAAAAGTTCGCATGACTCGATAACTATCAGATCTTGATGTAACTATTTTCAACACTTTTCACTTAGAGTACTTAAAAATCTGTTCGGCGCGTAATAAGAACGAGCAATAAATATAAATAAGTCAACACGAAATTTGATACACATTAAAATTAACAGGTAAAGTAGCACCCATGTTAAATATAACTAATAAAACCTGGAATGTAATCTAAATTGACAGTACAGGAGAAAAATGCCTGCACAGTATTGGAACAGAACAGTCCTGGTGGATGAGACAGGTCACAAAGGCAAAGGTAGGTACTGTGGTCCAAGCATTTTATTAAGGTAGAAAACTCAGATTGGCAGAGTATTGAACAACTGTTTTCACAAAGCGGCCACCAATCTTCAAAAGGAAATCACAGGAAAAAGGTTTTTACAATGTATCTTTGGCTTTACCAGTCTTCTTAAAAAATTGTGTTTTACCATTAATAAGTTAAAACATTGTTACATTTCAATATAGCACAAAAATTTGTGGGAACAAGCAATGTATGCAGCTTCAATAGTAGCTGCTGGCTATTATGACTAGGGCCAGTAATAACATTTGACAACTGCAAAAAATATGGTATATCTTAAAGTAACTATTTTAATTTCAAATCCAGCATAATAATGCGTGTCAAGTAAGAGGACACTTCTAGAAAAGTACTTGGAGTATTAAGTGCCTCTTCATTAACAAGTGACCGCTGTATTCAAGTGTGCACATAAAAACTGTTGGACATCTTCACATTTTATTCTGCAAACTAAATTTACAGATAACACCAACAATTTGCAAATACAGGTTACCACATATGTTTCTTCCAATAACTTTCTTTCACATATTTACTTTCCCATTTCATTTGCAACAGCTGCCCGAAAAGGCAATAACTGAGTATAATATTTCAAATACAACAACTTCATTAAAGATGATTTCCACATAGTTTAAATTCCTAAACATGGAATCTACATATAACGATAGATGTACAAGTGGTAATCCTTGCTAGCAAGGACAACTGAGCCGTCATCCATTAAAGCAACATCAAAGCACTGGGCATGCTTAACTTTACTTTCAAAAGCATTCACTAATCGTCCATCTTCTGTGAATATTGTAATGTTGAAGTTGTTGTGATTGTCAGCTACTAAAATTTCACCATTCTGATTAATACAGACACCAATGGGATAGTTAGTAAGACCCTCACCTCCTATCTGACGAAGAAATGCTCCATCATAGCTAAATACCTTCACACAGTGTGTTCGGTTATCACTAATAAATATTTCTTCCTTATCATTCACTACAACTCCATTTGGAAACTCTATATGTTTAGAGCAACCAAATTTCTGCAAGACATTACCAAGTTGGTCAAAGATTATCACTCTCATGACCTTACACTCAATGACAATAATTCGACCATTAATGTCAACAGCCACTCCTCGAGGATGCTGAAGAATATTATCCCCAAATTTTCTAACAAACTGTCCATATTGATTATATATTTGAATTTGATGAGTAGGGCTTCTCTCTGTTACAATAATGTCTCCAGATGTTTTCTCAATAGAAACTCTATTGGGATATAACAACTGTCCATCTCTTTTTCCCCATTCTCCAAATTGAAATTGAAATCTTCCTACTTTATCAAAAACTTGTATTCTGTGATTATTTGTATCTGCTACTAGGATATCATTTTGGGCATTAACTGCTACACCACTAGGCTCAGTAAATTGTCCTTCCATAACACCAAAGTCTCCAAACTTACAATGATAAATCATTTTTTGCCTTTTAATTTGAGATCTTATGGGATACATGCTGGGAGAAATGAATTTGGGTGAAAAATCAACAGCTGGTTCACTAGTCAGATGAAATAAGTCAGCTGTTCCACTGGACCAGTTTTCATATGGGGACTGGACCATTTCAGACTGCACCATTTCACTGGACCATTTCATACCACCCAAACTTGTAGAAAATGCTCCAAGGCTATTTGCAGAACCAAGGCTATTTGCAGAACTTTTAGATATGATGTTTGACTCATAGGCATGCGCATTTTGATAGGTACGATCAGAATTAACCACACCATTTGGCCTTGCAATTGTTTGTGCCTTAGTAGTTGGAACATCTTCAGAATTATGGCGAATATATCCAAACGTGTTCCGAACACCAACTTGGATGGCCTGGTGATTGGACAGGAACTCAAGATCTAAAGATTGCATATTGACTTCAGGATTATACGAAATAATACTCTGTAATTTAGAGTCAAGAAGCTGTTTAAACATTAAAATTTCTGAATTGCTGTAGAATCTCTTCTTAATGCGATCAACAAACAGAAGCGTTTGTTGAGCCCTTTCTATCATTTCTTGGACTTTATGCCCATTAAAGTTAAAGAAACCATCTTAGTATTATACAGATCGTCAAGCTCTTTCTTCAGTTCTTCTTTACGTTCTTCCAATACAGAACAATAAAAATTAAAAGTGTCATCGATTTTTGTTTGTGCTTTATGATACTGCATTTGCAGACGTGATGAAAAATCTTCTACAGATTTGGCAGCACTTCTTAAATCATTCGTTTTGGTTTTGCTCCTTTCAAGCAAATCCTCAAGTATTTCTTGAGATTTGTAATCATGGAGACCTTTTGGATGATCATTCTTCATGCATTCTTTGCAAATTGGTGTATTACATGCTTTACAAAAGGATCTGAGCGTTTCCATCATGTGTCGAGGACAACGTTTCACTTTATCTGTTTTAAAGTCATCTTTGTCGAACTTCTCATTATGATTGAAAATATGATGACCTTCAAAATAATTCATAAATTGATGAGCCATGACACAATTTCGGCACAAATAATTGTCACAATCAAAGCAAAGAGCAACAGCGTGAGTATCTTTTGCCTTGCAACCAGTGCAAGGATGAGAAACTTCTAAGGCAGAGGTTTCAAGCACATTGCTGATGGCGTTACCTTGAGATAAAAGAGCACGATCCTGTTCATACTTGGGACAATGGATTTTATCGTGGTTTTCTGTTAGTTTTTCACGACAAGTTTCGCAGAAAGTGCGTAAACAAGGTAAAACTTTTTGAGCTGTATATGTTTCGGGGCAAAGACTGCCCTCAGTGCCTACGTTTTCCGGTTGTGCTCGGTCTCCAAAGGACTCTAACTGACGAGATCCAAATAATGAGGAATCTAGGACAGAAGGAGTAGGTGATGCCATTATAAGAGATGCCTCAAATTATTGAAGAACCAACCTGGAAAACAAATGAAGAAAGTAAATATTGAAAAATATACAATATAACAATTATATTTCCCATAAAAATTTTCACTTCTTGTGTAGTTTCTAACAGAATTACAAAACTTACAGCAGTTACTTCCTAGGACCAACACAGATATGCTCACCTTAAACATAAAATTTACAACCAGGGTTCGTACACATTTCTGTAGACGGAAATTAAGTACTTTTAAGGACCATTAATGAAAACAAATAAGGACCTATCAGCAAATGGGAGCTGAATAAATTTAATTAAAGATATTATCTATGCCTGAACTTCACTTTTGTAATACCAATTTAAAAATAAAATAGATCCGTAAGTAGATGCATTACTATTAAACATAATTATTAATAAGCTTGAGAATAAAATAAACTTTGCGAAATTTATCAAGTAGCATTAAATATTTTACACTCATATAATAGTTGGACATATTTGAAAGAAGATAAGTGACATTTTATTTGCGTTTTACTAACAGTTGGCTTTATGTTGATTATTTTTGTGTCTCATTTTGTCACAAACTCAGTCTAGAGCTTTAAATAGCCAGTAGATTTCACGTCAAGCGGCATAGGTTAAAATGAGATGTAAAAATGCATGATTCATTACAAAAGACTAGCTGTTGTCTTTCGTTATGAATCATGCATTTTTGCTACTGCATTTTTGCTACAGAATAAGAACATGCGTTTATGGTCTGCCGTTTGCCTAGAGAGAGATCTGCTGATCAGAACAAACCTGTAGGGTCTGATCTAGGCACGGTCGGCAAGTGTTGAAAGTTAGTCAGGCTCTGTTTGATGCAGTTAGTGTCGTAGCTTCGTGTACAGTTCCAGGGGTTGTAACCCAGGTAATATACTTTAAGGTTCCAATAAGCCAAAGCACCAGAGTGATAAGTTGTTTTGTATTATTTCAAGTCTCACTAAATGCGAAGAATAAGTTTTACATGGATTTTACATTTAATATATGTATGTATTGTTGTCTAAGCAGAAATAATGCATAATTATAAAATACATATTAGAATATAGTGATGGTTTGTGTACGGTTAAAATAATAATTAAGTATGGTACAGCACATGAGGAAAAGAATCATTCAATTTTATTTATTTGAAAAATTCGTAATCGATAAACAACGCTCACTTGCTTATCGATGATGCAAGTCTGTCTATCGATCGTGAAGCACAGTCTGTGTCATCTGAAAAAGCAGCGAACCGTATCTACAGGGTCTGTTGCAGAACTTCAACTGCAGACCTCCAATTTTTAGCCAGGAAGCCCCTAATAGCTCTCAGAGTTGAGCTGGAAAACTTTCTGGGTAATGTTTCAAGGCTAAAAGAAAGCCGGACACTGTGGTACATATAATATAATGTAACAAAATTAAATAGTTTCTGAGCGTTTTTTTAACTATTTGTTTAACAATTTCTTTTTTTTTTTAATTTGTAAGTTAAAGACGCTTTATCTTCTACAGCCTGATTACTTTCACTATCGGCTGCTGTTGTAAGATGCTGGTGTAATTCTTCATTCGTTACTTATCGATATTTTTTAACTTCTTCTACGTTTGAATGTCTTTCATCGCCACTGCATTATGTGCGATTTCTTAGTTTCATTTTCAATCCATAGAAATCGCTTAAAGTCTTTGATAACTTTGTGTTGGTTATGTGGATTGGTGAGCTGTGTAATTTAAGTGTTTTTTGTAGTAGAAAAGTCTATCTGATTTGCTTTTTGTGCTAATTTGTGTGTTAATATGTGTTCTGGTACTAAAATGACAAGAAATTTAACTCTATTGGACGTTTTTGGTGCAATTTGAGATCTTTTGAATGCTGGAGATGTTAAGAATAATCTGACGGGTATATTTACTTTCACTTTTGATTGCTTATATTCCGTGAAATCTGATTAAAGTATCTGATTTAGAATCTAAGCGAATTATTTTTGAATGCCAGAGATTCTTATCAGCTTTCGTGTTAGTTTCATTATGTGATTTCTTTCTACGCTAAATCTTTATGGTTTTGTGCATGAAAGGATTATATGACTGCTTTTTCAGATGTTTCGTATTTTTATGCGTGTAGTTATATGTACACACTATTTTATAGCATTATTTGGTATACACATGTGTAATTAGGTATAAAACTCATATCGAAAATATCGTCTGTACGGAATTTTGATAACGTGCATGAGGTCATTTTTATATAATTTATGATACATTTTATAGCGATAAAATAGCGTGAAATAGCTTTCACGCTATTTTCTAATACAATTTTATATTTACATGCGTAATATAAGAAAAACTGCATATCGCTTTTACGGAACATTCATAGCGCGCATGAAGGCATTTATATATGGTATATGATTTTAATCTCAGTGTTTTTCAAGTGCATTGTGTGTTTACTCGTTATTTCATTTCTTAATTTGATATTTACAAGTGTTATTTGTGAAGAGACGCATTTTGAAATAATCGCTTCCAAAACTCTTGTTTAAATAACACTTCTTTCTACCTTAATCTAAATAAACTCTCGCTATGTCATTTACATTCTGGCATAAAAAGCGTGGGTGAAAAGAGTAATAGAAAAGTCTTCCAACTTAAAATGATTTATTAGGTAAAATAAATACAAGAACCTCAATGGTCAGTTTTAGATTTAACCGATGGCGAAAAATAGAAATTCCTTTTTTATCGTTTTCATTCTTAAGCAAGAACATATAAGGAAACGTGAATATTAAATAAAAACCTCTGTCTACGAAATTCAGTAGAAGAGGTAAAAATTCAATTTCAAGATTTTACACACATAAATAGAGAAACCATGATAAATAAAATCTTATAAAATTAGGAAATTCTGATTAGTTTATTTCAAATGTTTCTTTCTGTTCAAAGAACTGCTTTTCACACTTCAGAGGAAATTTTCTGCTTTTCGCACTTTAGAGGAAAATGAGAAATAAAAGAATAAAAGAGAATATATTTGAATATTAGACAATCTCGGGATTCTAAGCTCTGATATTAGCAATTTTTATACATACAGTTATTAAAAAAGAGGATTTGTACGTAGAAAACATTCAAATACTCAGTGATAAAAATTCAGTTATTTTTCTAAAACTAATAATTTATTTCTTTTCTGTCTGAATACTATGCTAAATCTATTACGATTAATAAAATTAAGTAACGTTATTACATAAATGAAATATTTTAAATATTTTGTCTTTAAATACGAATAGGGACATTGCGGTAACAAACTTAATAAAGAGCTAATTCTGTCTTGATTTCCTTGTAAGACGTTTGAAAAAAGAATTTTACGCAAGGAAAAAATTAAATTTAATAGTAGGTGCCTCTTTTGACTGTTAATACAAGTTTGTTACTTCGTTGCATGAAGTAAAGGAGGTATTGTAATGGCGAAAAATTTCGGATATCGTACTCTTCGGAAAACTTCGGATATCGTTGGAAAATATAAATTTCGACCGCTCTTGAAACCATTTGAACAATATTTTTGCGTGATATCTGTAAGTACGAAGAGAAAAAACGATTGTTTTTGCCAAAAAGAATTGTAGATTGGGTTTAAATAAATTTAGAAGAGATTTTTTTTCTTGATATCTGTACAAACGTATATAATATATATCTCGCACAGCTCAAGAACGAGTAGACGTAGGACTTTGAAATTTTGTACATGGGATTTCCATAATATGCTGTTGTGTACCTGTCGTTTTCTTTGCCTTCGGGTGCACCAAACGTATATATATTCTCATTCTGTTACCTGGGTCGGTGAGCTTAGGTTTTTTTCCCCCTTATATTTTGGTATGTTGTGCATTTTTTGCTTTAAAAGCGATTAAATTAAATGGTTTTTTGTATGTTACGGTTAAGGTTTTAACGCTTTTAATTAATCTGTATGCAAGAGTTGTAAAACTATCAAAATTTAAAAGTTAAGTGCGCAGTGGAGCTTAACGAACAGCCATTTGTTTACATTTGAAACTCGGCAGAATAGTGAATTAAGTCAGTTTCTGCACCTTCAGTGTGTTTTTACTGAATGGGACTGAAGGTAAACTTTTGCTTCTGTGCCCCGAAAAATCTGCCTTCTTTCCTGCTGACCGAATTGCTTATTTTTGTGTAGAAACTCTTATTGTAAAAATTGTTTTTTTAACTGTATTTGGTATTTTATGCTTTTCTGTATTTTACATTTTTTAATGAAAATTTCTGAGTTTTATTTATTTTTGCTTTGTCGCGAAGTGAGAACTGAATTAATTGAATGAGAAATATATATCTAATGAAATTCGAGGAAATAAGTCTAAATGAAATGCAGCAAAAAATCTGTATAATTTATTAGGCCATACAAGGAAGTTATGCGTATTCACATCAGGTTTTTTTAATTGGAATTGCGAAACATCTCTAAAAAATATAAGTGAAATATTATAATAATCAGTGGAAACAAATTTATTGCTCGTTACTTGATTTCGAAATACATGAAAACAAATTTAATTCAAAACAAACCTCGCACAGAATGTCAAGGTATTTTACTGAAAGCGAAGAAAAGGTATACCTCTAGAAACATTATTTCTTATTTTAAAATTAGTTTCGTGAAGGTCAACAAATGCTCAGCAAGTTTGCTCATGTAGAAATGAATAATAATATTCAAAGATACTATACCTTTTGGGGCCAAATAGCTAAAACGAACGCATTTCTAGATAAAGAGTATACAAATGACGATTATCATTGGCTAAGATCTGTTTTAAAATGCCTCAAAATATTTGGAATTCTGTTATATTTATTGATCAAAATAAAATTTAGGATAATCAGAAGGACTAATCTAAATTCTGGGAATGATCAAAAGTAAATGGTATGAAGAAAACCTAATGCTGAACTTCAAATTGGTGACCTTAGTCTTTCAGTAAAACATCACATAGTCTGGGACTGTTGGAAATCATTATTGTGTCGGTGGAAAAATTGGAACAGATTGTTGTGTTTAAATATTTAAAAAAAGCTT